ATTCTTCCAAATTCCCTAAACTCTCATAAATTCCGATGAGTTCCTCCAAATTCGCCACAAATTCCTCTAAATTTCCCACAAATTCCTCTAAATTCCCCACATTTTTGGCAAAGAATTCCTAGGTGGTTTGGACTGACTGCATATTAATTGAAACAAATGGAAAGATATACCTGGCATGTATAAGTAATCAATGTCAGTTAGGTAATGGTACCCTTAGACTATATACCTACATTCTGTAGAGACAGGACAAGTCATTCATAAATCACCAAATAGTGCGACTTTACATCAACAAACGCTTAGAATGTGCTTAGAATAAATTATCAATGAGTGCAGCCAATGTTTCGTTGTGGTGGGAGAAGGCTGCAGCCGGCTTGTTTGGCATTGTTTCACATTGTTGGCACCAGCCGCCGACCATAGGCGTAGTTAGCTTTGGAGTTATGGGATAGTAACAAATAATTTTAATAGGCAAATAATGAAATTTTTTGTATTCCAAGTAAATATTTTTTAATAAAACCAGTGTGAAGCACTTTTTGCCTTAGACCATTGCATTAATTTTAATAAAAATATTTGCATGAAATAGGTACAAACATTTTCGTAAAATTCTGACATGTCATGGGTTATATTGAAATCTTGGATTCTACAAAAAATTCTAAAAATAATTTGTGTAGAGTTATATACATACCTATACATCTCACCGTTTGACAGTTGAAAATTTAACATTTAAAAAAACTTTGAGTGTCAATTGGTAGGTAGAAATTAGACTTTCCATTTCTCGCAGGGACTAAAATAAATTTGGGGGAGTAAAATGAAATTTCAGGGACTAAAATAAAATTAAAGGAGAGGTGAAATTTAGTGTTGAAAATTATAAATTTTAAGAAAAATACTGAAAACCTAATTTAAAATGACCATTGATTTTTTTTCTAACCAAGTTCTAATTGTAAATAAAAATGACTATATTTGTATTCAAAAACTTCAAAAAATTAATAAAAACAGATACAATAAGTGCAAAATGTAGTATACATATACATACATGAGTAAAGTGATTTCTCATCCGTCAGCAAATTGTAGCCTTCGCTTTGCTTTGGGATAAAAAGTCACCTTAGGTATTATTGTACTACAAAAATGCAAAGATATCTCTCAAATTCTGTCAGATCATTTTTTTCAAATGAATTATTACTATTCAATTTGGGCACAAGGCGATAAGAGGCAAAAGTAAATAAAAGAAAGTTTTTAATACAAGAAATATCAATATATTGTTCAAATATAATATATAGATGTGTAGATTAATAGAAATAAAACATTTTAAGCTGAATGCAATACTTATGTAGGCACCTATTGGTTCTAAGATGCTGTATAAGGCTGTTTAAATTGGTGATTTTATTTCTCAAACGTCTAACAGTAGCTTGCAAACTGTTAATTTTACTTCGTTGCTTATAAACCACTTCCTTGACTAGTTGCGGATTTCGTTGCCTTTTTCTAGGTGTACCAAAATCTTCACCAGTTAGGTCGCCAATGTACCTTCTTTTCCTAAAATCAAAGGAGTATTCATTACATTCTCATATGAAAAAGTTTGTATCTTGAATTTTTTACCTCTGCACAGGTTTTTCGATTAATCCTAAAGTACCTCTAAATTTGGATTTTAAACCTACAGCCTCTCTTGGAAGTGAAATATTTCCCTCTCTGTTGAAGAAGCTGTTGCAGTATATGATGAGTGTTTTGAGCTAAAAAAAAATATATGCTTATTTTTTCCTCTGATTATGTATAATGTATCTAAAATATGGTATATTCTCGTGTATATTAAGATATAAACAATTTTTTTTGCAATCATGACGCAGTTAAATTGATGCTCTATAATGAAATTATACGTGAAAATTAACATTGTGATATTATATTTTGAAAAGCCCATACCTTCCCACCAAACTTAAGGTGTCGGTTTCTGAGAAAAGTGCTTCTTTGTTGCATGTTTCAGTTTGAAAAGTTTCTTGCTCCATTATTGACAAACCATCAGGACCAGTCACACAAGAGTCATCCAAAGCTGGTTCATTTAGATTTGGTTCAGTCACCACAACTGGTCTATAACAAAATTAAAACAATATAGTAATGTTACGACCATAAAGTAAACGGTTTAAATCAAAAGTCACTACTTAGTAAAAAAGTCAATTGAATATTGTTTCGACTATTGTATAACTAGTTTATCATCTCACCTTAGACTCATCTCACGACAAGCCTCATTAGAGTTATCTAAAGCTGATTCCTCTGGTTCTTGCAGCCTCGGTTGCAGCTGATCTATAAAATATAAATCAAGACAATTAAATATCCAAAAAATAGTTATTTGAATAATTATTTATTACAGTGAAACTTCTCAATAGTGGCCACAAAAATGAGGTTTCAAAATGGTTGGCACAGATTCTAGGATTTTTTATAGATGGGTGGTTATCAAGGCTATCAGCTAACCCTAATAGGAAAAACCATTTTCACTGTTCATCCAGATTAGTTGGAATACTAAAAGTTATATTTTTATTTATATTATGAAAATTAAATACAAAATTAAGTAGATTTAATAATATTTTGAAAGATAATAATTTCCGTTGTTAACAAATTCGATTTTACTAATACACTTTGTTTGTTTAAAACTATTAATTGACTAATTAATTATTAATTAAACAACTCTTTAACCCTTTGAACAAAAAAATGTTACCTTCAACTAAAAAATCCTACACAACTAAGGACGTTGTGAGCGATAGGGTAAAAGCGCTAATCTTCAGGACCATAATTTGAAATAAACTAAACAAAAATACTTAAATTAAAAACTATACCCTAGACTTGAGAATAGAAATCAAAAAAATACAAAATGCGCGTTGTTTGTCACCCGCCACTGTTTTTTGTTTACTTACCCGTGAAAACTCAGCTGAGCTGAGGATTATGACTGCTAGAAATTTTGCACACAAGGCACTTGTAACGGGCTAATACCATTGTTTATTAAAAAAACTCACGAAACGAACGAAAAAATCACAAAATATTCGCTAGAAAATAAAAATAAATCCGTTTTGACCACCACAAATGTCAACAACGCACTAAAGAAGATTGCAAGACTCGACTAGAGTAGAGTCGAGGGGTGCGTTCTTAGGTAGCCGTGTGGTTGCTTATCCTTGTCTTGTATAAGAAGTTGGAAAAGGACACTCAGTTATTGGTGGTAAGTAGAAGATTTGGGGACGTTTAGTGTGATCGCGACCAAATGTTTTCCAACAATAATTTACTACGCCGAGCAATGTGGTGTTTATAATGTGCATCAATGTTGGAGCAAAACAAACAGGCACCTTGTCCTGTCTCTACAGAATGTAGGTATATAGTCTAAGATGGTACCTAACAGCCTTGTAGAACTAACAGTCACCAGGGCTGGGACTCTGTAACGGATAGAGATCGTTATCCCTATCGTTATGGCAATAGGGAATTTTCATATTTCTCAAATTATTTTTTTTTAGATACTTCTAGTGATCAGTTATTTCATAGTTTTCTTTTTTTCCATTTTAAGTTATATCTTGTACGAAAAAAAAATTATTGAAATTCAAATCAAAAACTTTGGCGCGAAAACACGAAATTTCAATTTGACAGCGCTTGTGACGTTGAGATTTTGTAAACATAAAATACGCAGCAAACGAACTGTTGCTGACGCAGTGCTATTTTTGTGTTATTCAAGTGTGCTAGTGTTTGCTTTTTGTGAAAATTGTCGCAATGGATGAAGAATATTGTGAAGGACTGCTTTTGTGCTTTTTTTACGTGCAAATTCCCTATCACAGATTTCCCTATTGACGGGTTTGTTTACAGAATCGTGACGTCAAAACAGGTATTCATCATAGGAGCATTTTTTTGGCGGGAAAATTTTTATTTCAAATTTAATATTATTTTTTGTGTAACAAGGGCGGTATCAGTTAAATAAAAACTGGTCATATGAATATTGTGCAGCATAAACTATTGATTTAAAACAAATTTGGAAAATTTTACTTCACTTGCAAGTTTCCTCTCTTTTCGAAATCAATAGAGAGGGGACGTCAATAGATAGAAGTGTTGCGGGACTTCGCGCGAGAATTTGAGGGTATTTCGCGTACTTTGACGGGAATACAAGGTATTTCTAGGTACTTCGGTACTTTGAAGTATTTTGGAGGTAATTCAGCCAAGTGTACACGTATTTCGTGAAGTGGTTGACCCCTCGCCTAGAAATCTCCAAATTCAAATTTGCATCAAAATTGGTCCATTTCTGACCATTTTGCATGCTTTCGCCAATTCTTTCCATACTACTAACAAACAAAGTTAAAATTTGCTGCAATCTTTGAACAATCTCTCTCTCTTTTCAACTACATAAGCATAAGACTAAAGAAAATTTGATTGGATGTGTAAATGTAACAATAACCACTAAACCACTTGCTGAAGAAATGGGTTATTTTTCTCACTTGTTGATCAATAAATAGGTATATATATGCTATTTTCCTCACTATTTTCAACAATGTAGTAGAAAGAAATGTTCATTGTTTTTGTTGTACAGGACATTGCAAACATTTGTAATGAAAAACCAATGATTTACAAATAATGTTTTAACTGAGGTTTTAACAATTTGCATTGCAAAGGTTACCAATACTTATATGTTAGTCGTTATTCTTTTTTTCATTTTAGTTAAAAGTTTCAATTTGCAAGATTGTATTTGTGAAAACTTTTAAACAAACAAGGATCTTTTGTAAGGGCCAAATTATGGACCAACGGGTAAGTGTTTGGTTGTTACCTAGCAGGTACTTTCTATTATCTAGAGCATAGAAAGTACCTGCTAGGGTACAACTAGTCCATAATTTGGCCCTAAGTGTGATAAAAAAAAAATCAGATTCTAGTGGTTTATAATAGGAATTAATAGGGGTCATTTAAGTTCAATATTTTGCAAGCCAAGCCCATTGGTCATTATCTCACAGAAAAAGAAACAATAATAATGAATTCCAGGTAAGCATTACACTTACCTAAATGGGTAGATTTACTAGATGTACTCGCGTCCGTGGACGATGTAGGTACAGTATCATTCGAATCGTTTTTTTCCTCTTTATTTGTTGTTGACAGAAGCTTACCCACTACCAAACTGCTTGTGGATGTTGAGGTTAGCTCTTTCTCAGTTTCCTTCGCTGTGACGCCTTCCATTATGCCACAAAGCCATGCAAATTAGTTCAGCTTTAAAATAGGTACTTAATTTAACCGCTAATTACTCTATTTCGCATTATTGTTCATATAAAAGGCGCAGAACGCCAGTCCAAAAAAAATACAACAACCAAGAGGCTTTCTAGTTTCAACTGTTCAATGCGCTTGCGCATTTATGGATCTTATGACGCCGTTATATAAAGCGACGTTGTCAGATTAGATTTTTTTGTCGATTTTATTCGTAGCTGATTCGTTCTTGGAGTAAAGATCCAGAAAGTCGATTCGCTGCTAGAAATGGCAATTTTTTACACAAATCGATATAAGGGTATCGATAACTTCTCTGAGAAGAAAGACAAACGAGGGCACGTAACGATTCGAATAGAGTCTGTTTATTGTGATTCGATCAGTGATGTCACGCTATATCTTGTAACCGTAACCTGTATCGACATCGACAAAATTTCGTATAAAAGTTTACTACAAATTAATCAAATTATTCAAAAATTGAATTTCACGCTCTTTACTATTCAAGTGTTGATTATTCGCAAGCAGCGATGCCAGATTTAGCTTCAATTAACTCAAAACATAACACATAACATAACCCAACTTCTTTGTTTATCCTCGTCTGTTTGATTTTGGTTTGGGATTTGAAAATTCATATTCAAATAATCCAAATTATATTAACTGAAACACTAAAATCCTTTGAATGTCGCTAAGAAGTTCAAAAGAAGTGGACCCGATCAAAAATGAGAGAACTGGAAACGTAAGGGAAGTTGGATCTCATGCCATTTGGAGTCTTTCTTCTTGTAAACCAGGTGCTCACATTTAATTTTGCCATTTGGAGCATTATTAATACATCCTTTACATCTCAGGCTTTGGTGTTGATCAGCTGAGAGATGACCGAGCGGACACTTATTGGCAATCCGATGGGCAACTACCGCACTTGGTCAACATTCAATTTCAAAGAAAAACAACCATAAGCGATATTTATATTTACACTGATTATAAGCTTGATGAAAGTTACACCCCAAGTAGAATCTCTATAAGAGTAGGCTCACATTTTAACGACATACAAGAGATTGAAGTTATTCCACTTATTGAACCATCAGGTAAAAACTAAACAACCCAATGAAATTATTTTATTGTTTAATTATTCCAGGTTGGGTACATGTTCCAATAAAAGACATCAGAGACCGGCCCATTCGAGTATTTATGATTCAAATAGCCGTTACAAGTAATCATCAAAACGGTAGAGATACACATTTGAGGCAAATCAAAATTCATAGCCCCATAGAAAATCCTGGGGGAGGCTTCGAGAATTTTGGCAACTTTTCTACTGTGGAATTCCAGAAGTATGCTACTATTAGATGATAATTTAATCTAAGTTTTTACCCTATTACAAATTAAAATATCCTATTGTTTAATTAATTTAGCCAAGACAAAAAAGAAATCCAATATATCCTACCTAGTTTGTTTAATTTCCAATCTTATTCTTATCCTTGTCATGTGTTCAACATTAGACAAAGATGTCTACACACTTGATTCCAAAACTAACCGCTTTTATTTGTTAATGTTGGTAAAACAGCAAACTGTAATTTTGGCCAATGTGCCAACTACCAAGTCAGCTGATACATAATAATAAAAGTTTTAAAAAGTATTGTGGATTGGAAAATCATGTTCTGTACTATTTTTGTAAATATTTTATAACATTAAAAATATATTAAGTGATGACAAATATTCCTCATAACAGTCGTAAAAGAGATGAGTATATTGATTTAGACCAACAGTTTCTGGGTAAGTTATTTTTAATTAATTTCCGCTATGTTTTTGTTCACTTATTTCAAACTGCATATCAAACACCTGTAAAATAATAATTATTGATTGGAATAAATAATTAGTGCAAAAATTGATTTTAATTATCTTTTTATCAAAGCCACCAGCCTACACTTATATGGATTTACCTATATGCATTTGAAAATATTGTTCTGTTACAGTTTTTAAAATATAGAATTTCATATTACCTAATGTAATATTATCGTTCGTATATTTATTTAGAAACTGCTGGTTATCAGCTAGCTACACACAATTTTATTTTATATGTGGGTATGTTTTGTATCTATTATTATGATGTCTAGATAAAAAAAATTATCAGTTTGAGCCTTTGCCAAGAGAAATTTTCCATAAACTGATGAGTTTTTTAGGTTTCCTATGATTCGTTTCCTTTACACCTTACAACATTTGAAATATTTGTTCATACTTATAGAATGTGAATATTGATAAAAGGTTTTATGATAATCCTGATGATATGCATATTATGTGTTTGTGTCACCGCATGTCCCACACCCACCTTGTTTTTGTTGAAAATAAAGATTTTGAATATAAATTTCTAAAATCGAAAAATTCCTGACAGTGTGCCGAATCAAACAAAGTTGTCTCTAATCAAAGCTCCAAACACACTGCTAATATTTACAGTGTGTTTGGAGCTTTGGTTAAACACTTGTGTTTTTCGAAGATAATTTCCAACAATTTTGCTTGTATTATACAATGTGTACAAACAGTAAAATAACTATAACATAACAAAATATACAAGTACACAGGAAGCTCTTATTATACCATTGCTAGTGATGTAAAATGCTCGAGCAAGTATTTTAGGAGAACGTTCTCCGAGCAGCATCGAGAATAAACGAGAATAATCGAGCAAAAACGAGCAGGACCCGAGAATTTATGCTTTTTATCAAAAGCTGAATAAAACAAGACATTTTTCTAAATAAATTCTGATTTTTCTCAAATTTCCCGAACTTCCCAAATTTCTCGTGAAAGTTCTGAATATTCTGAAAATTTTTCATAAATATGCTGAAAATTCTCAAACTTCTTAGGAAATTATAATATACAAATACATAAGGTCTGTTTCTGTAGAAATCACAAACTAATCAGAGTGAATTTCATTGTTAAAAGTAGTTTTCTGACTGTTTTCAACCAATGAAATTTGCTCTGACTGTTTTGTGATTTCTGCAGAAACAGACCTATAATTAATCTCATATGTAGTGATTTTAGTTTGAGTATATTCCAGTACAACGCTACCTTTGCTTACAAAAAAAAATAACTATTGCTGCTAATTGCTTCCTGGTTCTCGGGCTCAATATTCGATATATCTCTGCCTTCAACAGCTTCCATAAATATATCTCTACCCTATGGCGTCATGTGATTTTATTGGTTAGGATCGTGCTTGAGAACATGCTGAATATTCTCTATCGTGCTCAATGTGCTCCGAAAGTAATATTCAGCACGAACCTTTTTTTCGTGCGCGAATGTTCGCGAATGTTCTCGAAATCACAATCAGAACGTTCCCTTGTTCACATCAGTAACCATTGCATACATAGAACCAAATTGTATGAGGATAGTCCCTACTATGTATGTGTAAAAATTTACAATGCATTGCCTGGTGAGGTGACTTAAGACTCAATTTATTCGTGCTATTATACATAAGTACTTACATTCGTCAAAAAAAAAAAAAAATAGTAGTAAAACTATACAATTTATACAAGTCTATAAACTTAGCAGTGCCACGGTGGAAAAAAAACTTCGGGAACTACCTATACCGGGTGTCTACGAGATCAGTTTCGCGCTGTCATTTGCTGGTTTTTTTTTCGATGGCAAAGATTTTTGGTATGGAGTGTAGGTTTGAGAAATGTCATCTTTTGACATGTGTGTCACTGTTTGGTAACTTCCAGTTTGACCGGAAATGGTCCTAACTTCGTAATTTTGAATGACATCCCAATAATTTTTTCGGATTTTTGGTATCTGCGGATCATGATGTGTACGAAAACGTCAGATTTGAACATTGTTGAAGAAATTTCAGAACTCTGGATGAAAATGTATTTTTGAACAAGAAGTGACGGAGCGTAAAATTGTTATTTTCAACCAACACAATCGTAGAAAAATGCGAATGCCAAGTTATTATCCTATGCTTATTCTCCAAAGGCTTCCAAAGCTGAAAAAATCACATTTTACGTGATAACTCAATGAAATCAGTGAAATCACCCGACTTTCATAACAAATGTTTTTTACCTTTTTCAAAATAAAACCAACTATGCATTAAAACTTTTTATTCATGCCAGTTTTTAATTATTTTTCCAATATTTTCACTATGCATTACTATAACTGATAAAACTACTTATAAATAAACCCCTGTATTCAAACTTTGTATTTACAAATTTCCGAGATGTCAAACAATGACAAATAAACATATCTTGCCCACAGATCTTGTCAATGGCTTGTCAAGAAAAAAAAAAAAACAACAGCTCCTTTTGGAAAGTGTTCTTCATACAGGGGTTCATTTATAAGTAGTTTTATCATTTATAGTAGTGCATTATAAAAATAATAAGAAAATAATTAAAAACTAACATAAATGAAAAGTTCCAATGCATAGTTGGTTTTATTTTGAAAAAGGTAAAAAACTCTTGTTGTGAAAGTTGGGTGATTTCACTGATTTCATTGAGTTATCACGCATGATGTGATTTTTTCAACTTTGGATGCCTTTGGAGAGCAAGCAAAGGATAACATCTTGGCACTCGCATTTTTCTACGATTGTGTGGGTTGAAAATAAAAATTTTAAGACCGCTCCGTCACTTTCTGTTCAAAAATAAATTTTCATCCAGAGTTCTGAAATTTCTTCAAAAATGTTCAAATTTGACGTTTTCGTACACATCATGATCCGCAGATACCAAAAATGCGAAAAAATTATTGGGATGTCATTCAAAATTACGGAGTTAGGACCATTTCCGGTCAAACCGGAAGTTACCAAACATTGAAACACACATCAAAATATGACATTTCTCAAACCTACACTCTATACCAAAAATCTGCCATCGAAAAAAAAACCAGCAAATGCCAGCGCGAAACTGATCTCGTAGACACCCGGTATAATAATTAGGTGCTTTTTAGGTGCTAATTAGGGCTTCTAATTAAAAATTAGGTGCTCCTCTAGTTTTTGAGAAAATCAAAAAAAACTAAGGGATTGCTAGGTTTATAAAAGCTAGCAGTCCCCCGAGCAGTCCCCTTATAGTAAAAAATATTTCTCCTACAGCCGTGCGGAAAAATCGATTTTCCGCACTGATATGCGTGTGGAAAATGATTTTTCCCGCACGGTGCGGTACAACTCTTTTTTTGACATGCGTGCGGAAAAATTCATTTTCCGCACTTGATAGGTAAATAGCTATTTTCAAATTTTTTCTTTGTATCAGAATTAGGTGGTTTTTAGGTGCTCCTAAATAGCCCAAGAGAAAATAGAATGGATTAATTATTAACTGAGTTACAGATTTTTTTTTAATCATTAGGGGACTGCTGACTTTACGTCTACTTGTTGGTGTGTCAAAATGGCAAAAAAACTTCGAGATCTATATAATAATTAGGTGCTTTTCAGGTACTAATTAGGGCCTGTAATTAAAAATTAGGTGCTCGTCTAGTTTTTGAGAAAATCAAAAAAAACTAAGGGATTGCTAAGTTTATGAAAGGTAGTAGTCCCCTATAGTAAAAAATATGTTTTCAAAATTTTCTTTTGTATCAGAATTAGGTGCTTTTGAGGTGCTCCTAAATACTCGAAGAGAAAATAGAATTGATTAATTATTAACTGAATTACAGATTTTTTTTTAATTATAAGGGGACGACTGCTGGCTTTACATTTACTTGTTGGTGTGTCAGAATGGCAAAAAAACTTCGAGATCGTAAAGCCAGCAGTCCCCTAATAATTAAAAAAATATCTGTAATTCAGTTAATAATTAATCAATTCTATTTTTTCTTGGACCATTCAGGAGCACCTAAAAAGCACCTAATTCTGATACAATGAAAAAAATTGAAAAAATATTTTTTACTATAGGGGACTGTTAGCTTTTATAAACCTAGCAGTCCCTTGAGTTTTTTTTTATTTTCTCAAAAACTAAAGGAGCACCTAATTTTTAATTAGAGGCCCTAATTAGCACCTAAAAAGCACCTAATTATTATATAGTTCCCGAAGTTTTTTTCCACCTTGGGACTGCTAGGTTTATAGACCTAATTTATACACAGTCTGTAGTTGTAAATTAAAACTTAAAAACTTAAAAAACATTGTGAAGATCTGACATTCACAAGCTTACTCTAGAAACAGTATAGTTAAAATACAATTAAAATATAAGACAGAAGAATACAAAGTTTGATGTCAAAAGAAAAGGACACATATAAAACTTATACCTAAGGAACTCTTCAAACGAGTAAAAACAATTTAAACACAAAGGTTGCCTAATCCTACCTATGATAAGCTGGGATGATCAAATTTTTCTTCGTCTTGTGTTATAGCTGTGGACTTCACCATGCACCCCGAATTTATTCTCATTGTCCTTCACATACAACAGATTTTCAAGTACCTATGTAGTGAGATGGTGAAGTAAGTATATTTAAACTCTTAGAGGCCTGTCTAGAGTCCTCCCAGAAATCGCATATAATACATTTTAAATGATACAGCGTACCGGTCAATTGTATATTTGCCTTTAAACTAAGTTTTAGGCAATATTTGAGTGCTAGACAGCTTGAAATGAATTTGATATCCCAACGAGTTTCCCAATAACTGAGCCAATAACTGAACCCGAGACTACAAAGAGTTTAGGACTTAAAGAAGAAAAAGAATGTGATGAAGATTAGGTCTGTTCTCACAGAAATCACAAACCAATCAAAGCGTTTTTGATTGGTGCAAATCGCCAATAACCAGACCCAAAGTCGGGAATCCAAGGTAATAAAATCTTGAAAAGAGAAAGGGGAAAGTAGAATAAATACTTACTAGGCAGTGCGAGAAGCAGAGACGATAGCACATCTGAATCAGAAATAAGTTTGTCGAGTGTAACCCTAACTGAAGATGTCTCTGATTCAGATGAAATAGTGAAATCGAAGAAATATCCATTATTTTAGATCCATATTATGCAGTGTAGATACGCAATGGTATCTAGGGCTGAACAACTATTTATAAGTACAACCAAATCGGTGTGAGTGTGGACAACCATGAAAATAAAAGTTGCTAACTTTTGGGAGAGTTGCAAGTACAGAAGTTGCCAATTTTCCAGTAAAAATGTGTTTTTATTAGAGAAAAAAAAGTTTATTTTGGTCCTATCAATGCGCAGCTTACAAATTAGACATCGTTTTCGTAATAAAATCCACTGGAAATTGGATGATTGAAACGTTGAAATCACCTTGTGCTCATACAAAAATATCTGAAAATCATTGGCGATCAGTCGCAATTCTTGGGATGGGAATACATGAGATTCATTGATCAGTGAATATGGAAATCTGTGTATATGGCATGTACGTCAGACTCCTTTTCCAAAAATTCCGAGAGAAAATTTCTAAAGGTAAGTAGGTAGTTGAGGGTTAAACTCAGTGGAGCAGAAAGAAAGAAATCAAAATCGATGATCGATAAAGCAGTTTTTCAAACCAGCAGACAAGTAGTCACATACTAAACTTTCAAACATTTTTGGAATACAACTTAAGATACTGATAGGCCTATAATTATTACTGACTTGCGAATTATAACTTGATTTAAGTGTGAGAATTGATCTCCAAAACAAAAACTGGGAAATGTTTCGGTTTTTAGATATAGATTAAAAACTCGATTAAAAATGGTATGAGGTGGTCGATAAAACATAAAGCTACACTGTCTAATGAGATATGGCAGAGGCCCTCAGGACCAGGTCCTTTGTCTTTATCTAAGGTTGATAGCTTTTCATAAATTGATGAGATTGATATATTAAACTGTGAAAGATTGATGTCCTTAAAAGGCAAAGGGTCCTGCAAGACACGGTCTCTATCACTGTATGTACATTTTTGGAAAGTATTCTGCAAACAAACTAACAATATCTTCTCCCCTAGAACAACTTACATCAACTTAATAAATTTTCAAAAATTCCTAACATTATTACTAAGAGCTGACTCAGTTAAAGTTACGTAACTTTGGTATGGTATGTATCTGCATATATTATATCAATGAGCTATTATAAATATTAATATTTGCCAGAGAATTAATGTAGACTATAAAAAGTATAGGTCCTAAGACTTTTCCTTGAGGAATTCCAGGGGAGGGTTTACTGAGTTCATTATTCATTCGTAATACCTTCCTATCTTTCTGATAACTTCCAAAGACCTGCCCCACTGGACCCCTAACCCCATACGAATTTAAAACATCCAACAAGTAATCATATGGGGCACAGTGTCAAAAGCGTTTGCTAAGTCCAAGAACAATGTTGTTATCCAAGTTTTCATTTACCTGTCTAGTTAATTCATATGTATGTATGCAGGTCTTTCTTAGCCATAAAGTTCATGTAGTCAAAAAGGAAAAAGGCTGACAAATGTACAGCATCATATTACTGCGCTCTCCAATAAAGTCAAATTGTTTATGTGATTTGGAAATAATCAATAAGTCTATCTTTCAAGCACTTCTCTCAATGCTTATGGAGCGGTAGTTTAATCTCCTGATTTATGGATAGGAGAAACCGTTCAAGATAATATATAAATTTTTTCATTGCAAGGAGAATTAATGTCGGATTAACCGCTACACATAATATTATCATAAAAAAAAATATATCTTACAAATTCTCGTTAACTAAATTTGATGAGTAATCCTAATTATATTGACAATATAAAATTTGATCAAGTGAAATCCCTGGAAATTTGGAATTATGTACTTATTATTTTAGGATATGACGAAGTATCAACATCAACAAACTGCAACTCGTAACCAATTTAAGAAACAGAAATAAAAACTAACTGCAAAAACTTTTCAAATTGATAGCTCCGATTTTCAATGCATCACTGCATCTTCCCTAACTTCATTTGTGGCATTCCGCACGTGGATCCTTGTTACTTTTCTGGTCGCGTTATTGAAGGTCTTGTAGATTCCAGCTTCTTACTTGAATTCCATTTTTGAGAAATTCACAGAAAAAAATCATCTGGAAAATTTATTCATTTTGTTTTTGCTGAACATCATTGATTATTTTCCTACCTGACAATCTTAACTACAGTACCACTGATTGCCACACGCCGCGCAGACGAATTGAGCAGCTTGTTGATTACAACCCTGACACTGGGGTCTATTTATATATATAGAACTATCCAAGGTTTCATCGATCACTAGGCGGTGGACTGGATATTCAGATTCATCTTCCATCTAGAGGAAAAATCATGAACAGATGTAGAACTATGATGAAAAAATTGCTTATCAATTCTATTTAATATTTGGTAAACGCGCTGGCCATGGTATGGGTCCAATGCATTGGGCCTCTTCAGAATTACACTGCAATAAAGAATTTTTAAAAACAAATTATTAGTCATAGATCTGATAAATAAATCCAATAATAACATTTGGGGGGATTTGATTTGAAGTTCATGAGGAATGAATCATTTGGGATTTGTAAGATTATTATTTAATTCCTGCTATAACCTTTTGTATAAATAAGCGGATATTGATTTGAAACAGCATCAGTCATCCAAAATACATCTGAGCAAAAACAAGATGCTCAACAATAGAGTTTTAGTTTCTATCACAGCTACACTGCTTGTAGCTTTGGTAAGTACAATGATTTTTTTTTAAATTTTATAAATTAAATTTGCATTATTAGATTCAACAAACAATTTTTGTTTAGGTGATTCAAGCTTCCGCTGCTGATTGGAGAAAGCGTAATCCAAATTCGGAAGAAGCGCCAAAGTTGGTAAAACTTTCTAATGCTTCCTGGACTAGCACATGGAATCCTAATGTAACAGCCAACTGGACAACTCCTAGGTATCCTAATTGGACTACAACCATTTCACCAAACTGGAATACGACATGGAATCCCAATGTCACTGCTAACTGGACTACTCCTAGATACCCTAATTGGACCACAACCATCTCACCAAATTGGACTACAACATGGAATCCTAACGTAACAGCTAACTGGACCACAACTTTTTCACCAAACTGGACTAGCTCATGGAATCCTAATGTAACAGCCAACTGGACAACTCCTAGGTATCCTAATTGGACCACAACCATCTCGCCAAACTGGACTATAACATGGAATCCTAATGTAACAGCCAATTGGACTACAACGTGGAATCCTAATGTCACTGCTAACTGGACGACTCCTAGATACCCTAATTGGACCACAACCATCTCACCAAATTGGACTACAACATGGAATCCTAATGTGACAGCCAACTGGACAACTCCTGGGCATCCTAATTGGACAACAACCATTGCACCAAACTGGAATACTACATGGAATCCCAACGTGACAGCCAATTGGACATCAACTACATGGAGGCCACATAACACAACAATTTCACCAAATTCGACAATTACCTGGCATCCTACCATTAGACCTAATGTTACTACTTTACCTCCTCCTCCTCCTCCACCTGCACCTCAAGAGCAAGTTTATGAGGAGAGGACAAAGGTGTCCTTTTCGTACTTCAAAGAAGTCTTCAGGAGAGTATGGGGTGATGGTACTAAGGAAGTTCATGAGGAATACCATCTGGATTAAATTTGAACAAAATCAAATAATTATTAAATTAGTATTGTCCAATAAAACTAGTAATCTTTTAAATGTTTTTTTATTATATTTATTTCAACTTTACTACTATAGTTACCTACCTGAATGAAATTTATATTAAAGAATTATCACTGAATCAGATACCAATAATATCAAGATGAATCATGTTCAATTGAATTAAGTTCAGTTCTAATACCAACCTGGCGTTGTCTTATTCCTAGAATAGATAAAGTAACCATAATCTACCAATAAAATCATGGATATTAATCAGTTGATAAGCCAATATCGAGTATCTGCGGCTTATGATAATAAAAAATGTATTTTTCGTTTGGAAATTGGATTATGTATACAGTATAATCGTGAATTTTTATAAATTTGGCAAAGTTGATGTTATATGATTCATGTAAGTAATAGTTTTTGAAATGCTTTACTTCATTTAATACTTTTGTTACAAAGGCAAACCTAGGTATGGTGTTAGTTGAGATAAGATTCAAAAAAATGTAAACGCAGAAAGCTATTTCAAAGAAAATCAGTAAAAGCTACACCTCCTTAGTGAATCAATTGTTAATTTTGAATTCCATTAGAAAATTATCCAAAAAAAAAATCGTAAAACCCACATTAATTATCAAGGGGTAATTATAACCCCATTTAGCGTTATGCAACGACCAAACATTTAACCCAAAAGCTATCGCGTGCAACCCAACCCTGGAATGACATGGGCAAAAATTAGAAACCCCCGCCCCGATTTTGCGCCCTCAGCAATCAAGGTCCCAAGGATGATGACATCCACTATTGGGAGCGGCTTTACGTTTTCCTATCTTTTTCGTCCCAGCGACACGAGGACGGCATTTGAACGAAAGGGTGTGGAACCAGGGTTATATGGATGGAGAGGAAAGCGATTTTTGATTTGCAATCATATAAACAGGATGATTTAGTAAAGGGACTTCATATGACTGTTGTGAAAAATAATTCCTCTATAGTTTATACACAGAAAGAGATCCACTTAGGATACCATGTGTCATAGACTTTGCGTTCCAGTTTTTATTGGACTACCAGGGTTTCGTTTTTTTTTTTTTCAAAATTTGTGGCAAGCTGCCAATGATATAGTTTTGGCATGCTATATACCAAAAACACTCAAAAGTTCCTTTTTAAATCTGCCAGGTTTTGTGGATTATTCTGGGGATGGCGTCCTTGTTAAAACACGCAGTCCAGAAAGTGCATCGCTTATTAATAGGCGAAAAAGATGGGTTGGCAATATCGACTATAATAAGTCCCGATGCCCAATTTACCATTTCTCGCCGAAAATGTCATCGAAACAACGGCGCTCTATAAAACAACACGGATCGTTAGTTTGAAAGGTCGTTTATTACTCGGGGAAGACGATGATGTTGGAAAACGAGCTTTAGAGTAGGAACTGTTAGTAATAATATAAAATGTGAGAAACATTTGTTCTCAAATAGCTTGAAACCAGTTTCGTTTTGTTTTAAATTTCAACATAAAGCAGAGAGTGGAAAAAATGTTGAAGAAAAATTATAATCACTCTACTTTCATACTACTTACATAGATTTAATTTCCATTTTGGAGACTAGACCAACTTATTTAAATTCACAAAGTGGATACTAGAGACTGGTTGGGGAAATGCTCGATGAGGATTACTAAAATGTGATGTGCTCTACTTAAAATTAATGTAATGGAATTCAGTTTCTGCGATTCTATTCAATTATCCAAAGAAATCACTGAGGCTTTATTATCCAGAGATCTAACTAATGATGCAAAAAGATTGGATACTCACAACAAAGCTCAGATTGGAATTAGATTGTTTAAGTAGAACTTTAGAAAGTTTTGCAAGAAACACCTTGATTCCCAATGTATAAATGTCAATCGGTTGAATCCCTAATGACAGTTTCTTGATGTTGCTGTTTTGTATTAAGGAACTTCTTCATCGAAGGTGTAGGAGGTATGTGCAAGTTTATACAACTTTGATGTAAAAAGACTCCATATAGTAATTTGACTGTCGAATCTTCTATGCAGTTTTTATTAGGACAAAAGGTGGCAGATCAAACTAGGGATACAAAAGATACTGCTAACAGGATGCTCAAAAATAGTACAAATTGAACTGAAATCTCCATCCAATACGGTTTCTTGGAAACAATGCTACCGATTGCAAACCAAATAGTTGACAACCAATGGGGCACTGTGTGTAACTACGGTTGGGCCACACAAAATGAAGCTTTAGTTTGTCTGCAATGAGGATGCGTCCCTAACCCATTGGTACTTGGAACGCATTGAAATTCCTGGAAAACTGAGCCCATATTATCCATTATCTTATCAAACGTGGATTGCCAACTTTGATTTTGATACTAGTAAATGTAGAACTTCTATTAAAGATTCTTATCCCAGTAGAGGACTACAATTCCTGAAAATTTTGAGCTTATTTGGACTTACAGTTCCAGAAATAAAATTGTGTTAAGCAATTTAGGGTGATCAATTTTCCAATTTCTCTGAATGCCGTTTTCCATTGAATCCGGCTTCAAATATTGGAATAATTTAGTGTATGAAGTTCAGTGGATCCCAAAAGACCATTAGAAGCGAGATTAGGACACAAAATCTCAATATTAAAAATTTTGAAATTTCATCGTTTTAGTAAGAAAGTAGTTACCTTATGATTTAGATTTTGGAAAACTTTGAAAGGTCATAATTTTTTTTCTATCGAAGATAGAAAGCTGAAATTTTCATCGATTCTTATTCTAGTAGAGGAATACAATTTCCTGAATATTTCAGCTCATTTAGACTCATAGTTCCAGATATAAAATCATGTTAAGCAATTTGGGGTGCTTTATCAATTTTTCAATTTTTCTGAGTGTCTTTCTTCATAGATTTCGGCTTCAAATCTGAGAAAAATTTAGCGTATGAAGTTTGGGGGATCCCAAATGACCATAAGGACACTAAATCTCAACAATTTTTTTTTTTGAAATTTCATCGTTTTAGTAAGAAGTAACCTACCTTATGATTTAGATTTTGGAAAACTTTGAAAGGTCATAACCTTTTTTTTTTTATCAAAGATATAAAGTTGAAATTTTCAGCGATTCTTACTTCAGTAGAGAACTACAATCCCTGAAAATTTCAACTCATTTGGATTTATAGTTCCTGAGATAAAATCGTGTTCAGCAATTTGGGGTGATTTATCAATTTTTCAATTTTCCTGAGTGCCTTTTTCCATAGATTTCGGCTTCAAATCTGAGAATAATTTAATGTATGGTGTTTGAGAGATCTCAAATGACCATTAGGATACAAAATCTGAACAAAAAAAAAATCGAAATTTCATCCATTTAGCAAGAAGTTACCTACCTTATGATTTAGATTTTGGAAAACTTTGAAAGGTCATAACTTTTTTTTTATCAAAAATATAAAGCTGAAATTTTCAGCGATTCTTACTTCAGTAGAGTACTACAATCCCTGAAAATTTCAACTCATTTGGACGTATAATTCCTGAGATAAAATCATGTTAAGCAATTTGGGGTGATTTATCAATTTTTCAATTTTTCTGAGTGCCTTTTTTCATAGATTTCGGATTCACATCTGAGAATAATTTAGTGTATGGAGTTCAGGGTATCACGAGGGACTATTAGGACACAAAATCTCGACAAAAAAAAAATTGAAATTTCATCGTTTTAGTAAGAAGGTACCCCCCTTATGATGAGTGTATGAAGTTTGGGGGATCCCAAATGACTATAAGGATACAAAATCTCAAAAAAAAAAATTGAAATTTCATCCATTTAGTAAGAAGGCTGTAAACTGTAAAGCAAAGCGGGCTTTTGGATTATGCTACAGACACTCTCAAGCCTGCCTTGCAGTAGGATTTTGCTCGACAAAATTTCGAAAACCTGAAAGTCATCGATAACTTCCTCTATGGATTAGGGGTGATGTATTCAAACATCTACACCGATGATTCAGTAAATATAATTGAAAACTTCCAGTTTCTTGAACAATAAAGGAGCTGGCATGAGCATAGAACAATTAGGATTCACCTTGTACACCAACAAGATTGAAAATAATTTTAACGAATCGAACATAATCTGGTTTGCAGCAACGTGATTTGACTGATGATCCTTTCCAGATTACTGAAAGTCCTGACGTTAATAATGCTATTAAAGTTCAACGTGTTGATACTTAAAGATTTGGTTACGTCCAGAATTACTTGAGAAACTATTCAGAAATCTTATTAAGTTTATTAAAAGCCAGAATGGGTCATGAATTCAACAACTGTGGTTCTGGTATACATCAGTTGTCGGGAATCTGTATTTAGTTACTAGTTTTTTTCTCTCCAATACAAGTAAAGTACCCAATTGTTGACATGTTAAGGGTATCCTTGCTTATGATTACCACACATTTTCCAAATTTTCAAACTCAAGGCTTTGATATATTTTTTGACGTGATTTTAAACTCATAATTAAATGTTTAGATGTATTATTTACCCTATATTCCTATTATTTGTGTTATTATGCCAAAAATACCTGAAAGGTGATAAAATCCCAATAGTTGACACCCAAAAAAATTCACTTCCCCAAAAGTTGACACAACAAATACAAAATCAAATTTTTACTTCTAAGGAATTTTATCACGGTCTGTGGAACTGAGAAGTATATTTTTCTAAGTGTATAATTTTTTAAATGAAATATATGCATATAATGACCAATTATTTTCATTTTTTTTAAAGACATGTCGTGGTTCCATTACTTGACACTCTTGAAACCAATAGTTGACATGTTGCCTGTATCATTAGAAACCCTGGTAGAAACATCAATAATGTAAGAATCAATATTTTTATTATTAAAAAATAACATTGGGAAACTTTTTGTTGGGAAAAAAATACAAATTTCAATTCCAAATTGGTGATAAAAGAAATTGCTTAGAAAGCATTGGTACAACGTGTTTTTTTGCTGATGTAGCTACAGTAAGCCCCCTATCGCAATCATCCAACGCAGCAGTCCTGTCTTCTGGTAGTTCTGGTGCATATTTCAGCAAATTCCATTTTTCATAAGCCATCTCTTGATTTAAACCTGAAAGAACCAATTTTTGACACTCTAAAGCTCCAAACATTGACAGGGATTACAAGGGTGTCATCTATTGGATCTAGGACCGTCACATTCCCCAAACCCATATCTAGGTTTCTGTTTAATCCTGAGCAATAAAAAGAGACAGACTACAATGTTGAAATATTTGTACCGCCAAAAATCCATAAGTTGACACTAGTGTCAACATTTGGATCACCCCTCGATTTGGGCTCCAATAGTTGACACCCCCCCTTAAAAAGTTTATGCCCGTTATTTAAGAGATAAAACAATAATAAATACTTATGTATTACAATGTATCTTATTATACAGTAAATATATATTATTCATAAATTAACAACCCTACCTTAGCTTTGAGAACTTTTGTTTTTATATCTTCTTAACTACTTTCACTAGAAATCTGGAAAAAAGTTCAAACAATTGCACCTGTTTACTACTTCTTGCCACCATTTTGAAAAAACTTGTGATTTCAAATCCATGCATCAGCCATAAAGCGCAAGATGGCTCCAATAATACTATAAGCTATTTCAGTTAGCTTATAACATCTATATATTCTTATTTTCGGGAATAATATGCTAATGTGTCAACTTTTGGGACCCTGTCAATAACTGGGTACTTTACCTTATATCTATGTCGATAACTTCGAAGAGAAATCTTCTTTTACATAGTGAATAGTCTAACCAGGTTCATGCAGGGCCTATTTTTGATTCATTTGGGCCCCAAGGCCCAAGCAAAACTTCGGGCCTCCAATATCCTATGCGGCGGCTCCGCATGGGTTGCGGACATTGAGTCATCTTCAGTTTTTAAAAAAAATTTAATGGACCCCGCACACTTCTTATGAGCGTGAGGATACCTGTCCATCCTGGTATTATTAGTTGACAGGTAGATATAAATACATATGAAATGTAAGCATTTCTTGGACATTAAACTACCTACCTGTATCTCAAAAACTAGTCATAAGATTAAGTTGTGCCCATGCGAGTTATTGATCAGAAAAGTAAGATCTATAACATACCAAAATTTGGTTAAATTTGACAGCGGTTTAGAACTTAGAAATCCCATGAGAAGTGAGTGGGGTCCTTTTTAAATCAAAAATCAATTGTACAATCTAAGGCCGGCCTTACATAACCGGAATGTCTTTCTGAATCCAGAAACAGAATTCAAGATCTGAATTCTGGCACATTGCCCCACACATAATATCTTAAAAATTCCGCGACCCGCGTCCAGTATTCTCCTATAGTTTGCGGCATTTTTTGAGCAGTGTTGGTTGGAAGGGAAGAATCAGAATCTAAATTCCGGCTGTGTATGAGCTTGTATATTTGAAACATATGAGAAAACTTGCGTTATAAATTATAATCTTAATTTTTCAGATGATTTCAAAACTCTCGTTAGAGTTAATCTGGAAGACCGATATGAAAAATTCATAATTTGAAAAAATCGGAATATTTGTGCTGTATAATAGAAATATCAGGGTGTCCCAAATTCGAGGGTGACCATTGAGATATCGGAAACTATAACAGATACGAGGTCGGTTAAGTTGCGAAATTTTATAACCAATAAAATGCCGTCTTGAAATTTGAAAAATTCCGAATACTTCTGAAGATATTTGGAAAAAACCGAAATTTTGCAAAATCATTTTAATTTTTTTCTGAGTGTATTCGAAGAGCAATTTTAAAATAAATATCACTTCATCATTGTCACTTTTTTTCCCCTTTATAAGATGTTGCTACCAAATTTCAGATTCAACATTTTGTTTTTGGGCCACCATCATCAACTTCAGTTTTTTAAATACGGACCCTTATTTTCTATTTCAGATTTTAAGAGATTCTGACGTCCCAAAACCAATGAGGTGTTGCACTTATTCGAAAAATTTATATTATTGGCACTTTCCATAAGAACCTAATGTGTTAGAGAGAGACAGAGAATAGAACTTTGGTAAGAAATTGCTTAAAATTAATAAAAATATTTTTTCGAATAAATGCAATACGTCATAGGTTTTTGGACATCAGAAACTCTTAAAATCTGAAATAAAAATCCAGGTTCGTATTTAGAAAAACGAAGTTGATGATGGCCGCCCAAAGACGAAACGTAGAATTTGAAATTTGGGAGCAGCATCTTGTAAAGGGAAAAAAGTGACAATGATGAAGTGACATTTATTTTGAAATTGCTCTTCAAATAGACTCAAGAAAAAATGAAAATGATTTTGCAAAATTTCGGTTTTTTCCGAATATCTTCGGAAGTATTCGGAATTTTTCAAATTTCAAAATGCCATTTTATTGGTCATAAAATTGCGCAGCTTTGCCATAATTTAACCGACCTCGTATCTCTTATAGTTTCCGATATCTCATCGGTGTCGAGACACCCTGTACAATTCCGTACGTGAATTCAGATTCAGATTCTGAATTCAGGATCTGAATTTCGGCATATCGCCGCACACTTATCTCAAAAATTCCGTGATCAGTATTCTCTTAGTTTGCGGCATCATTTCAGCAGTGTTTGTTGGAAGGGAAGGATCAGAATCAGAATTCTGTTTGTGTGAGCTTGTATATTTGAAACACATGGAAAAACATGCGTTATGAATTATAATCTCAATTTTTCAGATCCGGAATTCAACACGCTCGTCAGAGTCACTCTGGCAGATCGATATGAAATATTCATAATCTGAAAAAGTCAGAATGTGTGTGCTGTATAATAAAAATATACAGGGTGTCCTTGTTCAACTGATCAAAAATGCTAAGATATATAGAGAAACCAGAGAGAAGTAGTTTGAGATAGAACACCGATGGTCGGAAGTCCGTCGTCTCCAAAATACAGGTTGTTGAAATTTAAACAACTCCCTTTCGTATCATCTGAAGGGCCTAATACTAGGCTGGTCAAATTTTCAGGGATTATTGATGTAGGAATGATATTTGAAAATTCGTATAATACACCCCCGTTCTCTACCTAGAACCATCCCAAAAAAACGGGGACACCTTGTATACAATTCCGTATGTTATGAATTCAGATTATGAATTCCATTTCTGAATTCAGAAAGAAATTCCGGCTGTATGAGGCCAGCCTAAAAGTCTATAATTTCATTTAATTTTCTGAATCATATACCGGAATATTCGTTTTTTTTTTTGGTGTTTATTTTCTCGGGGCCCCACTTTACACCGGGCCCAAGGCCCGGGCCTTATGTGCCTTTTGGTAAAATAGGCCCTGGGTTCATGTTTTGGTAGCTCGTTTCTTGAAAACCTACGTTGTATGTATTCATAGAGCTTCTCTCCTGTCTCATTTCAGTTATTTCTAGATCCACTAATTTTGTAGTTGAAATCCTCTTTGTGACCTAGTTTCTCTTTGAACTATCCCGTGATAATGGTTTTTGTTATCTATGGCTTCTAAAGAAAATTTCAGATTTTTGTCGTTGCATAGGCACCTGGATGGACTCCTCTTTTTGGATGTTCAGGATAATGCTCATATCGCAATTAATAATGCTCATATCGCACTTGTGCCTTAATTTTATCTGGTAAATATTTCTACTGGACTCAAAACCGTAACAACTTTTTTTCTGGATTAAACTCAAACTTCTAAAGGTCAGTCTTATGATACAAAAGGTTAACTTAAAAATAAATCTTGTTAATAATGTCATTGACGAAGCACAAATCATCTTCGCGATTTTCTATACTATACCTACTTTCCCCTAATAATATCAATTGTATTATTGCCACTCTAATTATTGTTGATCGAAGAGCCTCCCGGAAAGTGGATGGGCTCTTTCACCTTACCTTTCATGGATGGATAGAGAACGGGGGGGTTAGTTATTGCGATGGTGGAAGCGCGCCTTTGTTCTTTTTTTTATTGTCCGAACGGCGTCAGTCCATTTATAGAGCGCGTGGCGGGCGAAAAGTTTTAAAAAAGTTTTGTTCTGGAATATACAAATTTAAGTTTCTCTTTTGGAATCGAGTATTGAGTATACTTTTTATGGGTATGTTTTTATGTATAAAATATGTGTCCAAAATGTGTATAGGCCTTTATTTTTCTAAAATTTTCATGATTATGATTCATAATAATATTTACTCTATGATAAAAATCTGAAAAAATGAAAGTAAGTCATCTGAACAAGTAGAATACCTACATGAATGACATACTTATCAAGCTATTAATTACTATAGGAAGTTGTTGATTGATGACTATATTAAGAAACAAAACAAAAGCTTTATTTAATAACTGTTTCAGTTTTTTCAAAAATTATCTATCCATTAACTCGCTAAGTAGGTACTTAGTGACTCAGTTTGTTTTTTCAAAATTTATTTATTTTTAGAAAATTATTTTCGGCATCCTCCAACTTCTCTTGATTCCTTTAATAATTCTCCAGATTTCCTAGGATTTCTACTCACTTCTCAGAAAATCGCCCATGGATACCATGAAATCAAAATGCCTAAAATAATTTAAAATTTTGAATTTTTCCATTCGAATTTGCTTGTACCTACTTCTCAGATTTTTAGAAACTTTGCTTTATTCCTCTCTACTACCTTGGGTGGTTTCCCCTGCTAAATATAGTTGAATAATATTGGTAAATTGAATAATTATGCTTATGGATTGCATGCTATTTTTTTATTATAAGTACTATATAAAAAAAATAAAGACTTTTTTAAATTGAAGTAATCCTTCAATTAAAAGTAAGTATAATTGTGTCTTGTAGGGTGTCCACTAAGACGCGCCCATCCACAACAACCCCCATATGCCCAACGCCAGCGATTCCAGCATTGAACTGAACCAAATCCCAGTCCAAAGGCAAACCAGCGATGGCCAGGGAGCTGAACGACAAACCAATGGTCAAGGTATACCATAACTGGAACACTTTTGTATTTACATACATACCTACTGTTTACGTAGTTTAGTTATGCTGGGGCATTTAAAAAAAAAACCCTGTTTGAACTATTAAGCTAATATTTGCAAACCTGATATTTGCTTGCGATTAGAATTTAATACAATTTTTCAAAAGTTTCAAATATGGTCTTTGCCATAATAGTTGTTGTGGCAGTCTGAAACTAGCCTTAGTTTGTGGACAATGATGAAAATCGATTCAAATTTAGGCGTCTAAGACAGAGGCGTTTTGGGTATTTTAAGGTTGATTTGAAAAAAACGCTCGGACACGTCAATTTGGTATTCAAGGGGCAAAGTTTTCAACCCCATCGGTATTTTGCTAGGTTGCACCCCATGGGTGGGATGACTTTCACTCCTCTTTTTTAGATTAGGAAGATGGGTCGATTGGTACCTTGTTTTAAAGGTATTTTGATTCTCGTCACAAATACTTATTTTTTTGATAATCGAATAATTAGTTCTCGAGATATTCACTGTCAAAGAGTTGCCTTGTACTAAATGAGAAGCAATTTTTTGGCCTTAGCTGTTATTGTCAAATTAACACTTTCCTGACTTTTCTCTCAGGCACGTCAATTTTAACTTTTTCCATCCACAACAACCCCAACAAGAAATGAAAATTGACGTGTCCGAGAGGAAAGCCAGGAAAGTGTTAATTTGAGAATAACAGGGCCAGAAGATTGTTTCTTATTTAGCCCATGGCAACTTTGACAGTGTGATGAGAATCAAAATACCTTTAAAATAAGGTATCACTCGACCCATCTTTCCTATCTAAAAAAGAGGGGTGAAAGTCACCCAATCCAGGGGACGCACCTTGGCGAAATACCGATGGGGTCAAAAAAATTTCCCCTTGAATACAAAAATGAGCGTTTTTTTTTTAAATCGACCTTAAAATACCCTAAAACGCCTCTGTTTCGATGTTCATGAAACACCCTGTACCTATTGTGAGACCCCAATTCAGAAACTTATATGATGTTGAATTGGTGAGCGGCGGCTTTTGTTTCTGAGTGGAGGCACAGATTGATATGGGTCCTATTTGCGGGTGTGAGAGTGAAACACAAGTGTAGATTATTTTTTTAATATGATTTTATTTAAAATAAATTTATCGGGCGTCGGCCAGAAAGGCTTGAAATATAATAACCAAAATTTTTACTCTGACTTATTTAAAATGTCACTCTTTTCTCACAAATACCTTAATTCTATTATAAAAATTCCAATAGGTAAGTTTCGTACCAAAAGTTTGCTTAATCAAAAATAATGTTAAATTAGAAAGTTCAAATTTTTTTCAATTATCAATCACAAAATTCCCAATTCAAAATATTATAAATAACGAAATATGTTTCAATAACAAAAGTTCTGTTACAAAATTTAGCTTCAAATTTTCTTATTTTACCAACTATTAATCATGAAATATCAACTTAAAAATGTTTTAATTCCTTTTGGGATAATTATTTAACTTTCGTAAATTTATCAATTCATTAACTTTTTGTCCTATTTTATAAAGAGTTCAAATTTCCTTTTTTTTTACAGTGTACCTAAATGTACTTACAAGATGTATTTATTACTTTAAAATTCTACTGGCACACACGTAATTACTGAAACGTTATTTTTACGACTTGACTTTATGAACCCGAAATTTTCGCACTGCCTCCTTAAAACTTTTCGTACTATCTTCGACTTTGCTGCGTCTGACACTTGACTGACCGTTCTGACTGTTCTCGACTGACACTTTTGACTGTTCTTGACTGATACTTCTTCTGAACCGACACTGCCATTTTTATGGCAATTCAGGCTTTTTATATAAAAATTGTCTCCTTCCTTCCTTTGTTCTTTCGACCTAATTTCTCTTCCAATTTATGAGTGCTTTGACATCAAGATTTCGTCATCTCGGCCCTCTTTTTAGTGGAATGCGGTACCGTTTCTTTGTCGGCATACAGCACGCGCCTGATTTATGGTGGTTTCCCGGAATTTGGGTTCAGTGACAGATGGCGTCATGTTAGTAAAGTGCCGCATTTCAGAGACACATTCCAATTGATTCATCTATTTTTGAGTGACCCCAGTTATCGGATCTTTGAGAAGGGATTTCAGTTTCTGTTGTTTCTTTATTCGATGGTCAGATCATTTTTACTAGAAGTTCCGGCTGTAACTAGTTGAGTTGTCTCCTGGGGTGTTTAATTTTCGGTAAGTTGTAGTTGATTTTGATTTCATTTTTCCAGTTTGATTTATGTTTTGTTTGTTGTTTGTTTCATTTTTCAACAAAATAGGCAGATCTATTAACAATTATTTTATTCTTGGCAGTTTTTCTTGGTGGTTTACTTCTGCGTCACTACACTATAACCCAAATGATTTAAGTGAGTGAAATTTTTGTAAAATCACGTCAGTTAAAGGTAATAATTCAATTAATTACTAGATTACTGTTGATATACCAGATAATATAATAACTCGCAGGATATTATTGTGCATTAACATCTATACAGTATTGACATTTTTATTGTTTCAATTTTGTCCATAAATGTTTCGAAAATGGCATATACTTCATTTGTTGAGCCTAATATATTATTTTTTGTGATTGTTGCCTTCACGTGTATTATTTGTACGATCTTGAAATCTTCTGCTTCAATAAATTACGATGATATACATGACTGGCAATAGGTATGTTCAAAAACACCTCCTTCTTAGAACCACTGAATTTTCCATATCTTTCAGATAAAACGAGAGGGAGTACTGAATGTTATCTGCAGAAAAGTGGTTTACACAACTGAGTGCCTCATTCCAATATAGAACTCTGGTGTAATGGCTTTGGAACTTGAAATGGATTTTTACCCTTTGAAATCTCCCATCAAAGTAGTTTATGAACCATCTGATTGATACATCATCAAAATTATAGTATTCAAGTTTCGCTATTATTAGTCTATGGTTTATAGAGTCAAAGGCTTTTGACATATCGGGCAAAACCAAAACAGTGACTTTCCTTTGATCTAGTGCTGGGGCTTGTACATACAATATCATTGGTTATTTTAAGAATAGCTGTATCCTTATCGATAAAAAGACTGATTAGTTGGTGCTTTCTTTTCAAATTAAATTTCTTTAATACTCTCTATAGTAAATATTTAATTTGGTTGCTATATTCATTAAGTAAATCATGAACACTTATTCTTTATACTCTGGATAGATCACACACCAAAATCAACAAACCTCCCCCAAATTAAATCCCAATACCAAAACAAATTTATTCTACAGGACAGGGTCAACATAATATTATGCCTCACACGTGTGTATCCTATACCAACAAACAATCGATTAAGAACGGGGAAAACACGTTGCAATGATTTATGTATGGAGGTGCTGTGCTATACGAATGAAAATTTCATTAAGTAACGCACCCGGCGTTTCTTTATTAATTTAACGATAGGTTTTAGGGGTTCTAGTTTGGCTATTTTTAGTTTACCCGGGAATTAAACTCGAAATAATTGATTTCATGAAAGTTTCATTGGAATGAAGCAGTTGAGAATTTTTATATTATGAAAATTACCCCTTTTTGTATTGGCGTGTAAGGGTGTATTTCCGTGATATGTTTTTATTTAAATTTCTTTTATCACGAATGTACAGCCCCATTTTTCCATTACATATTACCTAACCGTTTTTTTTTCTGTTTGACAAACCTACCTATACGTGAAGCTTATCTTTAAGAGGATTATCCTGATGCGGTTAGATATACGAGCTAAATTAGGAAAATTGTTAAAATCCTGTAAATATGTAACTATACCCAGTAAGTGTAGATGTTTTGGATCCATTAGAAATTAAAACGATTTGAATAATGATAATGTTTAAAGAACTGCCAATGATTCCTGTTTTGCATCAGAAATGTATTCCATGTTTGATATTAGCAATCGATAGGGAAAAAAGAATATTTATTTACGGCAAGGCCAATTTACAAGGCTCCGTCAAGTTAGCCCCCCCACATTCGAATTTTTTAAAAAAATTGCAACCACTTACTGTGCTCGAAGTGTGCTTTACTGTGCCGATGATATTTTGAATTGTGCCGTTTCGATAACAAAGTTATAGGAAAAAATAGATGAGGGGCTAACTTGACGCTCAGTCCCCCCAAAATTTTGGAAATCAGATGAAACCAAAAAGGATTCTTATCCAATCCAAAGTGTGCTGAACTATGCCGTATCAGGTTTTTCTCAAAATTTCCATATTCGGTCATTTTCCGACAAAATCCTACAGGGGGCTGACTTGACGCTCAGCCTTCCCAAAATTTTGAAAATCAGATTAAACAAAATTGAATTATTTTCCAATCTGAAGTGTGCCGAACTGTGCTGTATCAGGCTTTTCCCAAAATTTCCATATTCGGTCATTTTCCGACAAAATCCTACTGGGCAGGTAACTTGACGCTCAGCCCCCCAAAAATTTCGAAAATCAGTTTGAACAAAATTGTATTCTTATCCAATCTGAAGTGTGAACTCTGCTGTATCAGGTTTTCTCAAAATTTACATACTTATTCGGTTATTTTCCGACAAAATCCTACTAGCTAACTTGACGTTCAGCTCTGAGAATTTACATACCTACATATCATCCATTAGGTTTATATCGGGAAATGGCCAAACATGGAAATTTGGAATAACCTGATCAGGCACAATTCAGCTCACTTCAGATTTAATAAGAATAAGAGTCCGTTTTTCTCTGATCTGATTTCTAAAACTATGGGGGGGCTGAGCGTCAAGTTAGCCCCCTAGTAGGATTTTGTCGGAAAATGACCGAATATGGAAATTTTTGGAAAAACCTGATACAGCACAGTTCAGCACACTTCAGATTGGATAAGAATTCAATTTTATTCAAAGTGATTTTCGAAATTTTTGGGGGGGCTGAGCGTCAAGTTAGCCCCCCAGTAGGATTTTGTCGGAAAATGACCGAATATGGAAATTTTTGGAAAAACCTGATACAGCACAGCTCAGCA